ATTTTTACTTTTTCTTTCTGTATTCATTTTTTTTTATTATTAATTCTCTTTAATCTGTTTTAAATCGACGTTGATCATTAGCTACTTCATTGCTTCTTTCCATGATCACGTCCATCAAAAACACTACCACTGTGCTGCTAATTAACATATTAGGTTTTAAAAACCTTTCTTTTATGTTTTTATTTTTTTTTATTTTGATGTTTTTTTTTTTCGTGGACGTGTGTTTACATGCAGTATACATATATATTAACACACACAGACTGTTTGAATGGAATTATTAGGCATATTAACAAGTTACATTTCCTGTGTGTTTGATGGACAACAGGAAGTTGATGTTTGAAGGACAACAGGAAGTGTCATTAATTTTTCGAGCTGATTGATCAGACGATCACAGAAACGAGAGAAACAGGAGCAGATCTGATATCAGCAGAACAGAAGGAGGCATGAACGTGAATCTGAGGTCAGCAGTGTTGGGAGTAACGCATTACAAAAGTAATACATTACTGTAACATATTAGTTTTTGCTGTAACGCAGTAGTGTAAGGCATTACTAATCAATTTTCAGTAATATTTTACTCGTTACATGTTCAGTGAGGCTTGTATTACAGTTGTATTACAGTGTATTGTCTGCTTTTACTTCTTAAAGGCAACAGACTGTGTGAAAGTTTTAAAGCTGTCTTTTAGTGCCAGTTCAGAGCGGTCGCGTCTGTAACATTGTTTTTTCCTCATAAATGCGAACACGAAAACTAAAATAAAATGAATATTTTAAGTTCTATGGAGACTGGAGAGCCAACCCTTCCTCATCTGATTTGCGCAGTGTAATTAACAGAATTACAAAAAAATATATTTTGCCTCCTATTTTTTTCACGCATGAATGTGTGTCTTTTCCCTAATATTAAAAATAAAACATAGACTGATATTTGTCTAATGTCTTTTAAGGAAGTAGCCTATATAAATTACGTTTCAATACATGTATTTTCTGAGAATTGTTATTTCAAGTTTTGACTGCAAATGTCATGTCCATAATGCTGGACTTCCCCAATTTTAAATAATTTATCCTCAACTAGTTTTGTGGTTAACTTCAAATGTTAACTTCAAATAATACTAATAGCCTAATTTAAAGATAAGGCAGCATTGGATCTGGACGGTAAGCAGAATAACGCTGGAGTTGGAAGAGGTGTGTCGCGATTCTGTAGGTTCGTGGATCTGAGTCGTGTGGCGAATCGCGATTTCGGTTTCATATTGCATATCGTTACAGCCCAAAAGTTAAGTTCTACTTAGTTATTTTGGTGAAAGTAACTCAAAAGTAATACATGAGTAATGTAACGCATTACAATTCCGAGACAGTAATATTGTAAGGTAATGAATTACTTTTAAATAACAGTAACAAGTAATACCTAATGTATTACAGTTTGGAAGTAACTTGCACAACACTGGAGGTCAGCCATAACACGAAATGCATCTCACACACGCGACGCATCAAACACATCAGCGGTCCTCAAGACAGATGCGTATAAAGCCCGTTCTCATGTTCAGCTGCTGTTGTGTAGCTGGTTAAGGAGGATAAACAGGAGACACTTGCACTGATTATCTCTCCATCGATCCTCCACTCGTCTGGCTGTCTCTCCATCCAAACATCCTTCCATCCCACGTCTAAACCCAGTACAGTAACCCATCTTAGGTCCATTATATGACTTACTTCACAGGGAAAGAAAAAATAGGCTGATGAGATGATGGTGTAAATTTAGTTTCATTTCCACTGAATCATCAAAATCTACTGGTCTACACACACTGACACACACACACAGAAATACACTCACAAACAGACAGACACACACACACTAACACACTCTCAATAACACACACACCCACAAACACACTCACTCACTCACGCACGCACTCACACACTCTCACACACTTTCACACACATCTCCAGTCTGTAAAGCAATCAGTGTTTCTAGCTCTTCTGAGAGCAGCACACACTCTCTCTCTCTCTGCTGCAGTCCAGTCAATAACACAGACATGCATGACGATTTATCATTTTCTACTCTCATTTTTCACTTATTGACATTGTTTTTCCATTTATTCTGCAGAATTAAATCAGTAAGTCCAGACGAACAGCCCAAGTCGAGTACTGCCTGTCACACTCTTAATAATATATATATATATATATATATATATATATTAATGCTACATATGCAATAACTAGACCGTCAATCAAGAATTCTATTTATTTAGTTGAAGTTTTAGTAATTTTGGGTTTTCATCATTTTTTTTAATACATCTATCTATATAGCGTTGTCATTTTCCTTTCTGTTTTAGTTTTAGTCAATTTAGTACATCAACAAAAACTTCAGTTGACATTTATTGTATTTCAAATTAGAAAAGTTCTTCTGTCCTTGAACAACTCTAACGATGTTTGATGGACAGAGAGAGGATAAATTCACTGGATCTGTGCTGATGTTCAGGGCTCAAGTAATGATGTTGGTGGTGTGGGGCATTATGGGGGATTATTAGGGTCTGAAACCCTAGGCGTTTCTCAATATGCGTTCTTGTATGTACTTGTGGACTTGTGAAACGTCATCAGTCGCTGCCCAAGTACTGTTCCAATTCAAAGTTCACATCTAGCCAAGTCCAGTTCAAATCTCGGATGTGTTCTTGATCCACCCCGTTTACCGAGGATGCATCGAGAGGTGACTTGTGTGGACTTGAGACAGCCAGGTAACCCAGAATGCACCTCGCGCCACCAACCAGCAAGCGTCAATAGGAGAGGAGAAAATCCGCGAAATATCAAAATATTACTGTTATTGAGTCATGAAATGTAATTTTAAGAGTGTTTCAGACGAGAATGTGGTTGTTTAAATCTCAAATCTGTAGTTTATTTATAAAGATAGCGCCTATTTGAAAAATGCATTTGACGTTTTCGGAATTCTGACATCCAAGCCTTCAGCGGACACTCAGCGAGATCAACCCCGACTGGAACAGCTTATCCTCGGCTAGTGCTTCTTGACCTTTGCCGCTGGCTCTGATCCCTCTAGTCTAGAGAATATGATAAACTTGACGTACAATTCGTTTTGTGTATAAGTCTATCTTTGGTCTCATTAAACTATAGTTTGTTCCATGGCAAAAAAAAAAAATTGTTTTTGAGGTTTCATAACTTTATGACTATTTAAATTTAACAACAAATTTAACAAGCTATTTAATTTTTTTTATATTATCTTCACTATGTGAACTAGGGTTGGGCAATAAATATCGATTTCTCGATATTAATCGATTCTCATTTTTACAAACCGATATCGATTCTTAAATCTCAAGAATCGATTAGTCATCCTGTTTCATTTGAATGAATGAGACATTGTATCGCGGCTGCGTGCATCCCAAAAAAAAAAATCGCAATAATCTTTCTCCTTTGTTACTATTGATATGAAACAAAGTCTCAATTTTCAAATTACGTCCATTTTCTTTAGAAATTCAAAAAGATAAATTGTGTTTTGCCATTTTGGCGCTGTGGCGTGAGATCGCTCTGGCGCAGCTCAAGAGAAGCAGCAGCACTGATCTCTCTTCCGGGTTAATAATACCAGTCACAGCGCGAAATAAACATGAATGAGCATCCGAACCTGTGTTAAAAGATAGAGTACAACTTATCGAAATCCGCATCATGTCACATTGATTCCCTCAATCAGCGTTTCAACCGTGGAAAGACGTCAGTTAAACTGCTTGTAATCAATGTCATGTATCGTCATATTTACCTCAGAAAACCCACATAAACTCGTTAGTCAGCTAGAAAAAATAACTCCAGAGAGGAACATTTTGCTAAATATATACACCATATTACATATGCATTATAATCTTAATGTTCTTCAATATTTAATGCATATTTGAATAAATCTGGCAAGTTTTTATGACAGCCACCATTTAAATGTTTATATTTCATATAATCTTCTTATTATAAAAATAAATAAAAGTGTAATTTAAGTGTCTGTATAGCTACAAAACAGTTAATTATTACCTTCATATTAGGCTAATGAAGCCTAGTAGGCTACAACTAGACATAGACCATAGTTTACAGCATTTAAGCGATTTGATTCCCTTGAGAAAAATTGCCATTTATTGTAACTGATATCCAAAATAATCGATATTGAATCGAATCGAATCGTAATCGAAATCGAATTGCAAGCTTGTGAATCGAAATCGAATCGAATTGTGAAATTTGTCTCAATACCCAGCCCTAATGTGAACAATAAAATAAAATGACATAACCCTGTCTCTGTTTGATAAATGTCAATAAAAATCAATGTTTCATATTTTTAAAATGAAAACAAAAAGATCATGTTCATAATATATGCAGTGAAGAGAATCACGTTGCCTGAACCACATGGCCATTAGGCTAATATGTTGATTTTTTTTTTTTTTATGAAAAGAGGCAGAGTGGTGTTTTATAACATATTTTGTTTTATTGTTGACGAAAAGATGCAGAGTTGTAGCATATTTCGTTTTATTGTTGCCTAAAATATAAAGAGATAACCGAGTAGCCAGAGCGTGCTGAGTGACGCAATCAAATACGCTCTGTTCCATTTGCAGAAGAACCGGACTTGCGTCCTCTCGTCCTCGGGAGATCGTTCTCCGGAGTCGAACTTGGCAAGTCTGAACTACCAAGGACGCAATTTGAACTTTGCGTACTTGGTATTGAGAAACGGGGGGGGCTGTGTGTGTAAGGTTGTTTGTGTGTATGTAAGCTTGTTTGCGTGTGTGTGAGTTTGTGTGAGAGTGCATGTGAGTGTGTGTATGTGCGTGTGTTTGTGAGTGAGAGTGTGTGCGTGTGTGTTTGTGTGAGAGTGCAAGTATGGTGCATGTGTGTTTAAGAGTGTGTGTGTGAGTGTGTGCGTGTGCGAGAGAGTGTGTGTGTGTAATATTTCCCTTATCCAGGGGACGGAGAAACGCAGGAACTTGATGTGCCACACACACATGAAGAGTGAGAGACATGATGATGCGTGTGCCTACCTGCACTGATGTCATCATCCGTCACGTCTATCTCCTCCTCTGGCGCTTTGATCTCAGGGGGCGGGGCTTCAGCAGGGGGCGGGGCCGGCGGGCCGGTTTCGGGGGCGGATCCCGCTGCAAACACAGCAACCAGTGAAAATGAAAAAAACACTCAAAACACTCGACACCCCCAAAGGACATCCGTTTCAAATTATATGGACTTTCTTTACTTTTTTCGTATATATTCTTATATTGTCGTTCATCTGTTGTTTTTTTCGTTTTTCCGATATGTGTATTTTGTCAAATTTCTGTATGTATTCCTAACAAACAAAACAAAAAACTAGTGAAAATGCAGAATGACAAAGGACGCAGTCATTTCATGGCTTTAGTTTTAGCTAACGATAATAAAGTCATTAGGAATCCCCTGAACAGAGGAAAACTGACTGAGCAACTACAGAAATATTGATATTGATCAAAACACGGCATTATGTCTCTAACAGAAAAGAGTTACTATGAACAAATGAAGAAGGCGTTGTTGCGGCGGCAAAGACCGAATTAAGAAGAGCGGCATTTTTCTTGTCGTCTCTTTTCTGCAAATGTCGCTAACTTCTCTCGTTTTCTGGCAACCTTGTTAAAAAGCTCATCAGGGTTTATTGGTGCTTTGCATTATCGAGGCTTTATTAAGCTTTAGCGACTGATTACCACCATTTTTATTCTGCGCCTTCATTCGGTGCTTATCCTGGAATTACCAATTAAAATAAGCTTTTCATTAAAGAGGCTGCAAATGAATCAATGCTGCTTAAAGGTGAGAATGAGCTAATCTAGACGGGCACTAATTAATGAGACCCCTAGACCCCACGAACCCTCAGCGGAGAGTGTGTGTGTGTGCATGTGTGTGTGTCAGAACAGAGAGAAAAACACACGTGGAATAAAAGAAAAACAAACTTGCACAGACAGAAGACCGTAATGAGATATATTTACATTACATTATATTTACATATACACACACACACACACACACACACAGTCACTGACACACATACTCTCATGCATACACACACTCACACAAACGCATACTCTCATTCATACACACACACACACAAATGCATACTCTCTCATGGATTCACAATCTCTCTCTCACACACACACACACTCTCACACACAAACAAACACACACACACTACGCATACTCTCATGCATACACACACTCACAATCTCTCTCTCTCACACACACACACTCACATACCACAATCTCTCTCTCTCTCTCTCTCTCAATTCAATTCAATTCAGAAAGCTTTATTGGCATGACAAAAAATACATTTTGTATTGCCAAAGCGTCAAAACAACATAGAAAATGATTTGGAACATTTAGTACACAAAATATTAAAATTGATATCATAAAACAATAATAATAAAATGAACAGATTAATAAATAAAATAAAATGGATTTAGAAATCATCTATATATATATATATATATATATATATATATATATATATATACATAAAAAAGAACAATATTGAACATTATATACATGTGTGTAGGTCTTAGGCTGTGAATGAGTGTGTGTTTAGTGTATGTATGTCTCTCTCTCTCTCTCTCTCTCTCTCTCACACACACACACACACACACACACACACACACAAACGCATACTCTCTCATGGATTCACATACTCACAATCTCTCCCACACACACAACACACACACACACACACACACACACTCACTCACATGCATACTCTCATGCATTCATACTCACAATCTCTCTTTCACACACACACACGCACACACGCACGTACACACACTCACTCACTCAATAAAAATATCTAAAAACAATATAGAAATATTTTTTAAAAAATACACAAAGATACAACAAAAATAACTACAACTTTAAAATGAAAATCCAAATATAAAAATAATTCAAAACATTTTTATATAAATATTAAAAATAAAGAACACTGGTGGCTACCTGAGACTGACAGCAAACAGCCAATATGGCAAATATTCAATTTTAAATAGAAATGTTGTCTATATGTTGAAATGTATAATTAAAATAGTTAGTTAGACATTAGAACAATCAATTGTGTTTCCAATTTCAAAGAAAGGAAATATCAAGAAGTAAACCCAATCTGAGCCAAATATCATCATTCATGACCAAACATCAATTACAGGATGTCGGAAACAATCACTAAACTGTGTGTGTGCACACACACATATGTATGTGTGTGTGTGTTTGAGAGTGTGTGTGTGTGTGTACATGTGTATATATGTGTGTGTGAGCATGTGTACGTGTGTGTGTGTATGTGCGCATGATGTGTATTTATGTGTGTGCATATGCGTGAGTGTGTGTGTGTTCAGTTTTGATGGCTTGAGCTGTGATTGTGAGTTGTGTGTCTTCAGTGAGGCATATAAACACAAGAAGACTTCACAGCATGATATGAACACACACACACACACAGCTCATAACTCAGAGATGTTGGTGTCGGTGGGGTAAATCGGGCCTCCAGCGAGGTCAAACGCCCGTGTCAAGCATGACACACTGCTCACACACACCGGCCTTGTTAACCCGTCCTCCCTCTCCCTCCTTTATCTCTCTCTCTCTCCGTCTCTCTCGTTTCTGTTCACGGGGGAACGCTTTAATATTCAGCACAGCTGCAGTCAGGACGTTTCTCAGCACGACCCGAGCCTGACTCCACTATAAAACACACACACACTACAGTACCACCAACATCACGTCACGAGGACAGCGAGAACACAAGATTCGAGTTTGTGCTGGAATGTTTTCTGAGAGCCTGTAAAAGGTTCGTCGAATGTGTCCGATGATTAAACTAAACTTAAATGAATATTCCAGCACATTTATGACTCAGCAATAGCTGCCCGAAAAATGAAAATTGTGTCAATATTTATTCGCACACGTCTTTCCAAAACCATTCACTTTGAAGAAATGTTGGCAACACTTTAGTTTAATTCTCACTATTATCCAGTTGCTTATTATCATGCATATTACTAAGATATTGGCTGTTTATTAGTGGTTACAAAGCATGTCCCTTAACTCTAACAACTGTCTTACAAATTATTAATAAGCAGTAATTAGGAGCTTATTGAGGAAAAAGTCGTAGTTCAGAGTGAGAATTTAACTCTAATCTAAAGTCTGATTGAAATTGTAATAAATCTTCACTCCAGGTTATTATCGTAACAAAAATCATAGTGTTAGTTTAGTTTTTTTTTAGTTTTATAATAGTTTATCGTATAATTATAGAATTAGCTTTTATTTTAATATTTTTAGTTTTCGTGTTAATTTAATTTAGTTTAATTTTTAGTGATTTTGTCATTTTATTATCCTTATTATTATTATTAAATATGAATATTTAGGTAACTTATCTTATTTCAGTTTATTGTCAAGGCATCTTTTTAAATTTTTATTTAGTGTATATTTTTTTATAACTAATAATTGTATTTTCTCTTATCTCAGCTTCATTCTAATGAACAAAAACGTTTTTAAAGATTTTTTGTGCATATGTTAGTAATTTTTAGTTTTAGTTTCCTGTATGAAATAAAATATTTTTTGAAAATAATTTTAAAATATTAAAATAACTAAAACGAAACAAAAGACAGAAACACTAATAATAAACAAAACAACAACAAAATTAAATTTAAAATGAAAATACAAAAAAAAAGTATTAATATGAATACAAACTATAAAAGTAAATCAATGAAACTAAAATGACGAGGATTCATTTTTCAATAAAATAAAAAGGAATGGTGACTAGATCTGTCAAAGAATCTTAAAACAAGACTTATGTATTATATATATATATATATATGTATGTATGCATGTATGTATGTGTATATATTACACATACAGTAACTTAATGCATTGTGACACAATGCCAAGGAAACCAAATGGCATTTATATCTCGTGAATCATCAAAATACATACTTCAAAATAATGCATTAGAAATAATTATCATAATGTTTTATGGAAGCGCCAATGAAAATTGAGAGATTTTCAATGAATAACCATTTCTATGCTTTGTCTGGACAGTGTTTTCTGCGTAAGTTCTTCTCGAGGTAATTGACAGCTCGTCACGAACGCTGTCGATAGAGCTTAAGCTGTAAATAACCCGGAATATTCCTTGAAGATAAACGGCTGGTATGGAGGGTTTTTAGTGTGTGGATGTCTTTGGCCCTCGGGGTGTGTGTGTGTGTGTGTGTGTGTGTGTGTGCAGGGAAACTGAGCGAGCTGTGTGGGATTATCCAGGCACATCCGTGGGCCTGACCGTCTCTCACGGAAGAACCGCCTGAGGCCCGTTTTAATCACCTGCTCATCCGCCCCTCCCACCGCTCATCACCCCAGGGGATTCTGGGTAAATCCCAGCCCTGAACATCTAACAGGGAGCCAAGCTTGAGTCGTGAAGGTGAGAGAGAGAGTGTGTGTGTGTGTGTGTGTGTGTGTGAGAACAGGCGTGCGAATGAATGACCAAAGATAAATAAAAAAATGAAATAAAACGTCCCGGCGAACCCTGAAGAGCAGTCGTTTATTAATGCTTGTGATGTCATTATTATTTCTGAATATGCATAGAGTTTAATTTCCTATCTCGCTGATATTAATTCACTCATTAATTTACCACACTCACTCACTCCCTCACAAACAGTCGCTCTCACACACAAACAGTTGCGCACACACACACACAGTCTCTCACACACAAACACAGTCGCTCTCACAAACAGTCGCTCACACACACACGCACGCACACCATACTAAAATTAAAATACAAAATGTAAAAATATGAACAAATTTAAAATCTTATTAAAAACTATAATTGCATCTCATTAATACTTCACATTCAGTTATTTTGACCATGAGCCGCCCATATAGGGAGACACCAGTTCATCTCGAATGACAGAAACATCTGAAATATGACTCTTAAACTCAAAAATAGACTCAAACTAAAAAAATTTATAATTTTGTGGTGTGAAGCGATTCTCTAATTAGATTCTCTAATCTTTAAACCATCTTT